TGGTAACACAAGTAAAACCAGCTTATGGGAAACTATCAAGTGAAGGAGATAGAATGTCAATGTAGAATGTGATATTGTCTGCACTATCACATAGTTGTGTCGGCGGAGCAGCGAAGTGGAGGGATGAGTATCATCACATGTCTTCTACGACTGCTATCATTCACATCAATGGCTGTTACGTCCAGCGTTAATTCTAGTGACATGGGAAGCGAAGCGCGAGGTCTGCAACAAGGAAAAATTCAGAAACGAGAAATACCGTAATCATGACCATGATGAAATTTCTTCACCAACAAGTCGCCCTGTAACATATTGAGATCTAATAGAAGTAGTAATATGTACAAAGTAGACGGTGTTTGGGTTCATAGTTGTGATTAATGTCAAGGAATATATGTTTGCTTTCCTCAGTTGAGCTCAGGAGTTTCCAAAGCTACATTGTAGAAGTTTACATATGAACTCGGGCAGAGGTATACAAAAACTAATAAGAATTTCCCGAAATTTCCTCTTAGAATTTTCATATAGCAAACGTAGTTGATCATGTGCATATTTTCCTCCCAAACCTAATGAATAGACACCTCTGATATGCAAGGCACATGTTGTGTGATTACGTTTCCACATAGTGAGAATGACGATATTTGGTTGCACTGTCTACAGGGTGTACCAAGAAGAATGTGTTTTTTGAATAATTTTCCGTGTAAAAAATATTGAATATTCACAAAAAAAATTTCATAGCATTCGAAAGCTCTTGTGAAGAGCATCCAGATGGTGTTAGAGTTGTTGGAAGACTCGCCGGAACTCACGAAAAATTCAAATTTTACTCTCGCGGAAAAATGGCTTGTTAGTAGAACAGGTCGCATTTTGTTGTTATTTCACACGAGTAATAGCTGCGTTATTGCACTTGCCGCTAGCTCTAAAAAAGCTGTTCCTTCAACAACGAATGGTATGGTTTTTTTCCCGAATATTCAATTTGCACAAAAAGTTAATTAAAAAAACACATTCTTTCGACACACTCTGTAGTTGCGTTGTAGTCTCGTGTAATACTGCTCGAATGCGATAGACTTGTTGTTGTTACTCCTGGTCCTTCGTTTCTGCCTCTCCTCGGGGTCTTCATGGGAATACCAAATCTCAACATCGACGGGCTTAGGGTGCTGTTCCCGTACGATGCTATCTACCCAGAACAGGTAGTATAGGGAGGGTTTTAATATTTTACGGAGTTTCGCGTCTCTGTGTGGTAACACTACTTGTAAATTTAAGACAGATATGCTTCCACGATCGATAGCACAGTTATGAAATATCTTTCTCAGTAGTGTTTTTCATATCACTAGGGTGAAACTCATTTATGAAAAATACGAATATGATAAAATACATG